GCGCTGCGGTACCCCCACCCCGCATGTCCCTGTCTGTCCGTGTGCTCCCAGGCCTCGCCCTACCCCGGCCCGGTGCTGCCCGGCCGCCTCCCCTTCCACTGCAGCCGACCCCCTCCCTTCCTCTTGGCCGCCCCCGCCGCAGCCTGGGAGGCAGGCCTGGACGCCACCGCCCCAGACTGGGAGGCTGCACCCCAACATCGAGAGCCTGAACCCCAAGAGTGGATCCAGAGGTCGGGAACCCCGGGCCTGGGACCTAATCTGGGGGCATCACACCTAAATCCAGCCATGGGACCCCAAGACCTGGAGCAGCCCTGACTCCAGTATCTGGGGCTGGAATCCCAGCATCTGGTTTCTGAGATTTACGATTTGGAGCCTGTACCCCAATGTCTGGAACACAAACCCCAATACTTGGAGCCTAAACTTGAGATTTTTGCCTCTAAAACCCCAGGGCTGGACCTGAACTCTAAATTCTGTGCCTAGGACCTTGAAATCTGGAACTGGTTTCCCATATGTATATCTTGGAGCCCACTATTTGGAACCTGAACCCTGAGATCGAGGCCTATAATCTCAAAATCAGACCAACAGGATCTCACAGGGTCTAACCTGAATTTGGTCCTTGGTCTTTGCTGCAGACCTGAACTTTGGGGGTTTGGGACCTCCAAATCTTGACTCAGCATTCCAATAGCTAAACTCAGTATCTCCTTCAGGACACTGGGCTTAGAACTGACCCTAAACTTCCTATTTGGCTTTTTACCACCCGAGGCTCGAGCTAGAGGATTGTGACTGGGACCTGAGCCTCTGAAATTGGGGCCCTAGAGCCCAAGTATTTGGGAGCCTGAGTTCCCTCCTAGTGGCTGCAGATCTGAGCTGAGACCCCACCATGGTGGAGCAGCCCTCCTGAGAGGTCCTGAGGACAGAACCATGAGCAGATCTCACCTCCAGTGCCCTGACTTCTGCCCCCCATAGAGCCTGAGGACTCTGCTTCGTGGGGCAGCTTCCAGCTCAGGTAAGTCCATTGGGAGACATCTGTGCTGGATAGGGACTAGGGAGGAGATGGGTGACTGGGTGTGGAGGCAGGTGAAGTCAAGGTCCCCCTAGAACCTCTGCTGTCCCCAGGAAACATTCTTCCCATGGACCTGCCTTCTGTTCCTGCTCCTTCACTTTTGAACACAGTCGCCCTCCCTGAACTCCCCTCTTCCCAGTTAGTGGCCTCTCCAGCTCACTGACACCCACCCTGTTGTCTGCCTCTGACCATTCCCAGCCATCTCTCTTGTCCACCACTCCTTTCTAGACTCCTTGCTCGGTCACTACTTCTGATGATCACCTCCATTCATCTTTCCTCCCTGACCACATTTGCCATCCCTTTCCTCTTCCCCTCTCTCCTGTTATTCTCGCCTCTCTACTGTTTCCCTTAGTGACCGTCGACATTTCTGTCTACTCTTCTCTCTGTCCTCTTTCACCGTCTGTCTTCCCCTCTGATCATCCATGTCTCTGACCCTGTGGCACTTCTCTTCTCCATCTACCCCATTTCTCTCATTTCCTCTGTCCACCTCCCCTTTCTCTGACCAGCATTCACCATCTTTCTTGGCTTCTTGTACTCTTGACTATAACTCCCAGTCTACAACTCAACCTCTCTGACCTTTTTTGACTATGTCTCCTGTCTGTTTCTCTTGATCACTGGTGCCCTGCCTTTTCTTTCTGTGACAACCAACCACTCCTCAAAACCATGACCCTAATCAGATTTCTGTTCTGTTTCTAACATTATCTGCTCTTTCCTCATCTTTCTGATCTCCTATTCTGGCTTTTGGCCATTTCTGCCACCTCTCTATTTTTTACTACTATCTCTCCTGGCTCTGACAACCTCCCTTCTCTTTGGCAATCATTCGTCTTTTTCATAATGTCTCATCACTTCTCCTCTCTGGTCATGTTTGACCACTTCTAATCATTCCTACTACTGTTGCCATCTATGATCATCTCTTTAAAGCCTTCTGTTTTACCTTCCAAACAGCTCTCCCACTGTCTGACCATTTCTTTTTTTTATTTTTTTATTAATTTTAATAGACATTTACAGAGGTTTTGGATTTCCATTCATTCATTGCCGCACTTTTCTCCCTGCCCACCCCTCCCCACCATTTCGTTCCCCTCTCCAAAAAGAAAAAGAAAAGAAAAAATTCCTTCATTAGTATACAATTCCCCCATCCCTTCCCCCCCACCCTGTCTGACCATTTCTAATCACCTCTCTTTTTTCTGACCATTTTGATTCATCCTCCTGCTCTCTGCTACCCCCAAGAAACATCTTAAGACTTTGGCCATGCCCACTTTATCTGGCCATCTCTTTCTCTGACTGTCTCTCCTGGTCTCAGATTGCCCTGACTCCTCAGGGTACCCCTCCTCTGGTCATGTTGTTTGGTGCTGTTGAGTAGACCCCGGTTCACAGTCACCTTTTGAACAACAGATGTGAACTTTTCACCTCAATCCCATTGTAGTCACTGCATCGTTCTGTGTGTTGAGAATCTTCATTCTCCACCTTTGCCAGCATGATCTCCTTTTCCTTGACAACATGCCCAAAGTAAGACAAAGTTTCACCATTCTTGCCTCTCAGGAGCGCAGTGGTTGTGCTTCTTCCAGGACAGATTGATTTCTTCTTAGCCGACTGATCTTGTTGTTGTGTACCATTGAATTGAAAGCAACTCATAGCTGACCCTCCAGCAGGTTTTCAGAAGCAGTAAACAGCAAAGATTTGAACTGCATGACTTTGAGTTGGCAGTGCAGCTCCTTACCACTAAGCCACCAGAGTCACCCTAATGCCTCTCCTCTTCCCTCCCTGCAGGCCTCCCCTGCTCGCAATGGCCGTCTTCCCGCTGCTCCTTTGCCTCCTGCCACTGGCCCCTGCCTCATCGCCAGCTCAGCCAGCCACACCCAGCCCGTGTCCCCGCCGCTGCCGCTGCCAGACACAATCACTGCCCCTCAGTGTGCTGTGCCCAGGGGCTGGGCTCCTGTTCGTGCCACCCTCACTGGACCGCCGGGCAGCTGAGCTGCGCCTGGCGGACAACTTCATCGCAGCCGTGCGCCGCCGTGACCTCGCCAACATGACGGGCCTGCTGCACCTCAGCTTGTCACGGAACACCATCCGCCACGTGGCGGTGGGCGCCTTCGCCGACCTGCGTGCCCTGCGCGCCCTGCACCTTGACGGCAACCGGCTGACCTCGCTGGGCGAGGGTCAGCTGCGTGGCCTGGTCAACCTGCGCCACCTCATCCTGAGCAACAACCAGCTGGCAGCGTTGGCAGCCGGCGCCCTGGATGACTGTGCCGAGACCCTCGAGGACCTGGATCTCTCCTACAACAACCTGGAGCAGCTGCCCTGGGAGGCCCTGGGCCGCCTGGGGAATGTCAACACTTTAGGCCTCGACCACAACCTGCTGGCCTCAGTGCCTGCGGGTGCCTTCTCCCGCTTGCACAAGCTGGCCAGGTTGGACATGACCTCCAACCGGCTGACCACCATCCCTCCGGACCCACTCTTCTCCCGCCTGCCCTTGCTGGCCAGGCCCCGCGGTTCACCTGCCTCGGCCCTGGTGCTGGCCTTTGGCGGGAACCCCCTGCATTGCAACTGTGAGCTGGTGTGGCTGCGGCGGCTGGCCAGAGAGGATGACCTTGAGGCTTGTGCCTCACCACCTGCCCTGGGTGGCCGCTACTTCTGGGCTGTGGGTGAGGAGGAGTTTGTGTGCGAACCACCTGTGGTGACTCATCGTTCGCCACCCCTCGCTGTGCCTGCAGGTCGACCAGCTGCCCTGCGCTGCCGGGCAGTGGGGGACCCAGAACCCCGGGTGCGTTGGGTGTCCCCCCAGGGCCGACTGCTGGGCAACTCAAGCCGAGCCCGGGCCTTTCCTAATGGGACACTGGAACTGCTGGTCACCGAGCCGGGAGATGGTGGCATCTTTACTTGCATTGCAGCCAATGCAGCTGGTGAGGCCACGGCTGCCGTGGAGCTGACCGTGGGTCCCCCACCACCCCCACAGCTGGCCAATAGCACCAGCTGTGACCCCCCGCGGGACGGGGATCCTGATGCCCTCACTCCGCCCTCTGCTGCCTCTGCTTCCGCCTCAGCCAAGGCAGCTGACACGGGCATCCCTGCTGACCAAGGCGTCCAGGTGACTGAGCACGGAGCCACAGCAGCCCTCGTCCAGTGGCCAGACCAGCAACCTATCCCAGGCATCCGCATGTATCAGATCCAGTATAACAGCTCAGCCGACGACATCCTCGTCTACAGGTGCAGAGCTGACAGGGTGGTGGCTCAGAGCAAGGAAGGGTTGAAGGTGCACCTGCTGATGCCGGGGGCAGTGGTAAAAAAGAAATTAGTCAACAGAGCAAAAGAAATGAAACCACAGATGCAAAAATTAAATGAAAAAATTAAGTTACAGGGTTGGAAAAAAATTCAAGCCATAATCAAAGAAATTGGGCTGCATAAGTCAAAAGAAATAAGGCAACAACAGTAAATAGTCAGAAATAGAAAAATGAAGTAGACAAGGTTTAAAGGAAATCAAACAGAAGGAATAAAAAAGAAATCAGGTAGAGTGAAAGGATAGGCATTAGGGGAGGACACCCAAATTTAAGTAATAAGGGTAATGAGACACCTCCTTCTCGAGATAATATTAGTATAAGCCAGCCTTACGAGGGTACAGGGAGAGCAAGACAGCCCTCTTACAGAGAAAATTGACCTCCAGGTAAAAGGAAAACTAGAAAAAGGGGTTAAATAGACAATAGACTTCCAGTTTGTATGCCACAGTTTGGAATTCTAATACAGTGGAACCTAAATGTTTCCTAAATCAAATTTAACCTGGTACAAATACCCAGGTGAGTTGGAATAATGCCATCTTCAATTCCTGGGGACTTCTTCCTTTCTGCCATTGTTGTAAACACCAAGCCTCAGGCTTACTCACTCTTAAGAGATGGGTCATGACAACTTCCACTCCCAAGCTGAGAGCATTTGGTACATCTCTCTGGTCTATAGTGGTGGCTGCTGATGCTAATGCTGCTGGCTTTCTTGACTAAGGTTTGGCTTTGTGTGGGTAGCTGTGGATACGTTTCTGTCCTCTCTATTGGGCTGTGCCAAAGGTGCAATCCCCTGAGGCTTAACTGCAGAGTTCAAGGTGTCTGAAGGGCTAGTCCCTGGGTCCCTCTAGATCCCTTTTCCTTTTCTCAAACATATTCAGTAGATGATTCCACAGAGAAACCACACCAGAGCATCATACAAGTCTCTCAGCTATGTCTACCGTGTGATGGGGAAATGCTGTCCTAGACATTCCCTCTCCCACAGACAATCACAGAGTCCCCTGTGCCTTTCTCATTAAAGCAGTCTAGGAATAAAACAAAGATTGGAAAAATGAGTTAAATCTCCAACAGGGTAGAATATTGTGGAATTAGGTGCTAAAGATAAAGGAAAATGAGATGGGGAAGAATAAGTAGAACCCAGTTAGGAGAAATAAAAAGGAATCAGGTGATCAAGTTGGCAAGAAAATGGGCAACAGGGAGAAAAACAAATCAACAGTGGTGATTGAGGCAACCATCAGTTCAGTGAAAAGGGAATCAGGTGACAGGACTCACTCGAAAACAGGCCACGGACATAATAATAAGGCAATGGGACTGGAGGGGATTTATTGTTAGGTTAGAAGGAAATTGTATATGAGAGAATCACACAGTTAAATGAGAGAGAATTCTAGCTCAGCAAAATCAAAGGAGGAAAAGTGGGCTCAGGCTGGAAAGGAAATCATAATGGAGCCAGAGGGCGACTGGGTGAGGATTTGACAGGTGGAATTAGAAGTTGAATGAGGATGAGAAGGAATGGGACCTGGGGTTCAATGGCAGCCAAGACCAGGTAAGAACAGAAATGGGCAGTAAACTGGAAACCCAGCTGGCCAAAAGCTCGTGAGAACTTGGGCATGGATTAGAGGGGAATTGGGTGTAGAAGAGGAACTCGGGCAATGAGCTAGAGGAGAATTGGGTTGCAGGCCAGAGCAAAATCAGGCAGTGGAGTAGAGCAAAATTAGGCAGTGGGGCAAGAAGGACATTGGATTTCAGGCTGCGGAGGGAAGTTAGTTGGGTGTGAAATAGGATTGGGAGAATTTAGTAGTATGCTTCGGAGAAATGTGGCAATGAGGCTACAGTGAGGCTGAACCACAGAGCAGAGAAAGGTTGGGCAGTGTGCCTAAAGGAGCACAGGAGTGTGAAGCCCAACTGGGAGCCTGGAATAGCAGGTTATAAGAAACCGAGAATGTGGGGCAGTGCGGACTTGGGTAGTAGTCTAAAGGAAACTCAGTGGGCTGAAAGGGCATCATCAGACCAGAGGGCATTGAGTTGGTGAATGGAAGAACACAGCTGGCTAGAGAGAAATGAGGCAGCAGACTTGGAATCCAGCCTGCAGGGCCTTGGAGGGAGGGAGTGTGGGGTGGATGCTAGGCAGTCGGAGGTCTGACCCTACCTGTGTGCCCCTCCAGGATGATCCCGGCAGACAGCCGCTCATTCCTGTTGACAGACCTGGCATCCGGCCGTACATACGACCTCTGCGTTCTGGCGGTGTACGAGGACAGCGCCACAGGACTCACGGCCACACGGCCGGTGGGCTGTGCCCACTTCTCCACTGAGCCAGCGCTGCGGCCGTGTGGGACTCCGCACGCTCCCTTCCTAGGCGGCACCATGATCATCGCGCTGGGCGGTGTTATCGTGGCCTCGGTACTGGTCTTCATTTTCGTGCTGCTCATGCGCTACAAGGTGCACGGAGGGCAGCCCCCCGGCAAGGCCAAGGCGCAGGCCCCAGTCAGCAGCGTTTGCTCCCAGACCAATGGCGCCCTGGGCCCTGTGTCGGCCCCACCAGCCTCGGAGCCTTCCGCGCCCCGGGCTCACACCGTGGTCCAGCTGGACTGCGAGCCCTGGGGACCCAGCCATGAACCTGTGGGGCCCTAAACACACACCCACCTCCACGGGACCTCAACACGCTGCGGGGCCTGGCCACAGACTCACCAAATTGCTCACGGTTTTTAAAAACTCACGGGGAGGGTGTTGGGGATACCAGGGCACAACAAGAAAAGTCCTATTTTTCTAAGCTCGGGCCTGGGTCCTTTCCCTTGTCTCCGTCTGTGGCGTTTGGGGAACTCACCCAAGGGTCTGGAGTTTGGGAAAGAGCAGCAGTATTGTGTGGGGTCTCTAAGGCTGAGGATGGGCATGCGTTCTTTCAACAAACTCTTGGGGTATCCATTTTGGTTCTGCCCTCTGCTGAGTGATACTGTGGTGACCCAGACAGCTTGGATTCCAGCCCCCAGAAGGCTTATAGTCCAGTGAGGAGACAGGTTCCTGAAAAATTATAGCCCAGCATGATCAGTGCTGTGATGAGAAAAACCTAGGAACCCAAAGGAGATGCCTAACTCAGCAGCCTACAATTCCAGGAGGTATTCTTGGAAGAGCAGACATGGTTGAGAATGGTATCTGAAGGAGAGAACCAGGCAAAGAGCAGAGGGAAAACTGTTCCAGGCTGAGGTACAGCACAGACTAGGGCTCATTAACAGGGTCTAGAGGTCCTGTGGGAGAGAGTAGAAGGAAGACGGGGGTGGGTGTGTGGGGGGCTGTGTGCAAGCGTCAGGACCCCCGAGACTCTCATCTGTTAGATAATCTCTCTGATGTTAAGCTAATAATGGAGGGTTGTATTCAGGGGAGAAGCAGGGGCAGGTTTGGACACTAGGGAGACCTGGTCAGCCAACATGTGACCAAAGCTGTGAGGCTGGTCCAGTAAGAAGCCAGAGCTGGACCTGGGCAGAGCTGAGGGAATGGAAGAGGGGGAACAGAGTGGATCGCCTGGAGTCTGAGGGGCCATGGGCTTGAGAAGCATCTAGGGAAGATCCAGGTCTCTAGCTTGAGGAGAGGGTTGGGGGCTGGACAATGAATCAGGATGACAGAAGAAGAACCAATGCCTTTGAGTTACGGTGTTGAGGAGAGTACTCAGTCTGGACAAACAAGTCTGTCCTGGAGGAAGTGCACCCAGAGCGCTCCTTAGAGGCAAAGATGATGGACCTTGGTCTCACATACTTTGGGCATGTTGTCAGGAGAACCCATTACTTGGAAAAGAACATCTTGCTGGGAAAGGTGGAGGGTCAGAGAAAGACGGGAAGACCCCCAACCAGAAGGGTTGGAACAGTGATTGTAACAATGGCCTTGAGCATATCAGAGATGGTGCAGGACAGGGCAGGGTTCAGAGCTGTTGTTCACAGGGTCAATGTGAGTCATAGTTGACTCAGTGGCACCGAACAGTCCCAACAGTGCAGGACGAGGGAGGAGGGGCAAGCTAATTTGAGGATGATGCTGTGACCAGTACAGTACCCAGTGGACATGGGGGCCTGGAGGGTAGTATCCTGGAGGTCACAGGACCTCCAGTCTGAGGCTGAGAGGGGGAACAGAAATGAGAGCTTTGTGTAGAGAGCTGAATCCAGTAGGTACTTAAATGAGACAGCCTCTAGGAAGAATACCAGGACTCTGGGGTCCTGTAAGCTCCTATATTTTAGGACTGGCAAAGAAAAGCCTAACAGATGAAACAAGAGCAGCACGAGGAAGGAAAAAAGGCACGTCAGGCCCCAGTAATGATGCAAAGGATGAGGCGACCCCTGCGAGAAAGGAGTGGTAGGGATATGTTATGTATAGTTCACCAAGTTGAGATTGGTAGAGGGTAGATATGGAGAGTGTCGGCCTGGCGCCTGGCTTTGGCCCGTGTGCCCAGGCAGGGCTGATACTCACTCAGCCCTGTGATGCTCCAGACACCAGGACTGGAGGATAGGGCCCAGGAACTGTAGGGCCTCCCTGGGGAGCTGGATGTGATGGGCAGTAAAGGGAGATAACCACTGATGTTGGGGATTGTCTAATGGTGAGCCAGGGGTAGAGCTTTGCCTGGAATGAGGGGCTCGGGAGAAAGTTTCCAAGGCTGGACCAGCCATTCTCAGGAGCTGGTGCACACGACCTTACCTCCCAGGATGACAGATCCTAAATTCTACCACAGCTTTCTTGGACAATGCAGAACTTGAAGATGATATTCAGTCAGCTCCAGAGGAAAACCAATTTCTAGAGGCCTGGCCTGACCCATCAGTCTACCAACAGCATCATGAAGAGCCTGTCTTTTACATCTGCTACCTTCTGGTGTCAGTGAGAATGGGGTGATAAGTCTCAGGAAAGGGGCCTTAGTACCAGCTATACAATACAAGTTACTGCCATGAGGAAAGGGAACTCTGGTGGCTTAGTAGTAAGGAGTTGCACTGTCAGCACAAAGGCACATGGTTCAAATCTACCAGCTGTTTGCAGGCGAAAGATTGGCAATCTCCTGTGTGGTTTGCAGCCTCTGAAAACTCCCTGGAGGGTCAGCTAGGAGTTGGTTTCGACTCAAAGGTACATGACAACATTAACTAGGAGGATCATTTATAATGAGGGTCAGCAAAAGAGAGGAAGATCTTCAAGGAAATGGACTGATTACTCAAGTCTGGCAGAGATTGTGAGGATGGCATAACATCGAGCAAGTTTCTCATTTGTTATTCACAGTGGTAGCAGGACTGTTCTTAAACTCATATTTTTGGGTTTTTTTTAAATTGCTTCTTTTTAAAAACACTCATTTTAATGGAGATGATCTTTATTAGAGTCCTGCTATTGTGATGTGCTGAGAATTCAGTGCCGGCAAACCCTACTATCTGGAGGGGAACACGTTAAATAACCACACAAACAAATGCACAGCATCCTGGCAGGAGAGGTACACAGAGTTAGGACATCCTTTTTGGGTGGAGACCTGGCCCAGGAGAGGAGAGGGTGAGGGGGTGACTCCTTGGCTGAGATCTGAGTGCTGTTCTGATGTTAACTACTCAGGCCTGGACAGGGCCTTCTGTGCCAGGGAAGCCGTAGAAGTTCTGAGGCTGAAAGATGCCTGGTAAGTAAAAGGGACTGAAGGAGGTCAGAGTGGCTGAAGTGGAGGAGGAGAGAGGAACGATGTAGTTCACAGCTGAAGAACAGGAAGGGATCCGATGATGAGGGGCCCTGCAGGCCATGAGAGGACCCTAGGTTTGTATTCTAAGTGGCATGAGAAAGCATTGCAGGATGCTCCCTGACCTCAACAAAGCATGTCAACCAGTCAAGTCCAGGCAGGAGATTGACCTGAACTTGGTCAGCACCTGAATTGGATGGATTCAAGAGAGATGGGACGCTTCTGCCCTTCACAGAAGAAGCCAGTGTGGACCAGAGTCCAACTTCCCTGGTTCTCAGACTAGAGTGCAGAAAGTCTGGACTTTTTTCCTTGTAAAAAGGACTGTGGAGCCTGGTTTCTGATATTAATAAAAAAATCCCATTCTTACTGGGGATTAAGGGCCTTTTCCAGGCCGAGGTGTTAGGCAGATAGAACAGTACTTACTGCCTCATCCCAGAGGCTGTGGCTGGTCAGGGGGAATGAGAATGGTCAGGAAATGAGACACAGAAGAAGGCACATGCTGGATGGAAAGCAGGGAGGGTGTGAAGAGGTCCACTGGGCATGCTGGGCCCTCTAGAATGGTCCTGTTTCCCTCGCAGGATGTCTGGTCCATCCTTCATCACTCATGCAGAAACAATATATGGACAATATAATATCCAGAAGTTGAAGCTAAAATTTAGCACTGCCTAAGTCAACCCACTGATTTCCTGAGCTGGAAGAGCGACTTTTTCCAGTGCCCACCCAGCATCTGGCTTTGGAGAGCACCCTATCCATTCAGGCTCTTTGGGCCCCAGAGAACGGAACATTGTCTTGAAGTGAAAATCCTGCAGCGGAGAAGCACTGCTTTTCTCTGTCTTCACGCCGTCAGATCCTGTTTCCTGATGGGGCTAGAAAACCTGATACCGCACGAGGGGCTGAGGCATCCGTGATCCCTTGCAAAGCTTCAGCTATGCCAGGCTTTGACATGGTCACAGAAGTTGGAGAAATGGGATAAAGGAGCCCTCCCAAAAGGGATGCTTCTTTTCTGTGTTGAGCCTGATTGTCGCTCCTGTCTTTGGTTCCTCCCTAGTCGACGTGCCCTCTTGTACCTATCCACAAAAGCAAATACTGAGGTTCCTGAGCGCAAGCACATTGATCAGCGCGTGGTGCAATCAGGGTCTGCTCTCACAGCGCTCCACCTAGTGGAAAAAAATGGATACTCACCCAGCTGGCTTTGGCCAGAGTCCTCTATGTAGAACATAGACTGTAGAACTTAAGTAGATCAGGCAAGAAAGATTAGGTCTCATTTTGCAGAAGCTCTGGGGATCCCAAAGAAGAGTACATCCAGAGCCTGGGAGAGGAGGTGGGGAAAGTCCAAGAAGATTTCTTTCAGACAGAGAAGGAAACCATCCAGGGTTCCTGTGCTTACAAGGACCCTAGGCTTGATCTGTCACCATCTTGACAATATCCTAGAGCACATTGTCACTGTCTTGCAATTCTTAATGATTTTTAAATAAGAATCCCCCTTTTCATGTTCACACTGGGCCCTTTCAAATATGTAGACTCTGTCTTGAAGACATTTGACAGACTTAACAGACAGGAAGGAACGAGCCAGAGGAGAAGGGGGTCTTCACGTACAGGCAACATCATGTGCAAAAGCTAAGAATGGAACAGAGAGAGGATTGTGCTGAATTGGCTGGAATTCCATATGGCAGGAGCACAGAATGGTGAGGAATGAGTTCAAGAGTTGGGCAGAGGCCAGTTGTCAAGCTGAGGGCTTCAGCTCCACCCCAAGGCATCAGAGAGCCAAAATAGGTGATAGATGGGGAGGAGAGAGGCAAGGTTTAGACCTTGGTAAGATCCACGTGGGGAGCTTTGTGGGCTTAGTGGTAAGGAATTGTGCTGCTAAAGCAAAGATACTTGGTTTGAATCCAACTGCAGCTCTGCAGGAGAAAGATGGGCAATCTCCTCCCAGTGTCCTCTCCTCTGGAAGTAAGTCTTTCGGAGGCAATTGATGTACTGCTTCTGAAAACCCACTGGAGTGTCAGCTACTGGCTGGTGCTGATTCAGTGGTACACAACTATGAGGAGGGTGGATGAGAGCTACAGCAGGGAGCAAGGTGGAGTCTCCTTCAGGGCTGCCTGTG